TTTGTAATAATTTTGATGTATTTAGTTTACTTGAAACATGGTGTATTGATATAGATGATGTAAATTTGTTTTCTGGTTATGTAGCATTTCATTGCCCCGCTGTAAAATTTAAGAACCGGGGAAGAGCAAGTGGCGGTGTCGTCATTTATGTTAAAAAAAGTTATTCAAAGGGGGTTAACGAATGCTTCCTGAAACCACGGGGCGGTGACTCTGTTATTAGATAGTCTATTTTTTGGTTTTGAAAATGACATTTTGTTTGTTTCTACATATGTCCCTGCAGAAGGCTCAAAGTGGTATTTACAGAATGATGACGTAATGGATGGTATAATTAAACTTGAAAATGAGGTGGTAATTTTTTTGTCACAATGCAATGCTGGTGATATTAGCATAATAATGGCTGGGGATTTCAATGCTAGAACCGCATCTGACCCTGATTTTATGTTACATGATGATGCTCGTTATATCATTGGAATCGATCCTAATTATATGCAGTGTGATTTTGATATTCCACGCCATTCTAGAGACCTTATCCGTAATAATTTTGGCATTTCACTTCTGTCTATGTGCAAACACCTGTCTGTATGTATGTTAAACGGCAGAAAAGAACCTGTATTGCAAATGATGGTAAAAGTGTAGTCGATTACGCCCTCGTATCCCTGGATTTGTATGGCTATGTGACATCCTTCAAAATACCAGTCAGAAGTGAGTCTGACCATTTTCCACTTTGTTATAAACTTTGAATTTCTAGTGTACTTAATTCAGACGAAAATTCGATTGGAAATAATTCCATTGTGAAATTAAAACTATTGCAAATTTATAAAACACGTGTTCTGGAGAAAACTACTGAAATTAATTTATTGACTAATCAACTGGGGGCTCATAATTTAAACGAAACAGTTACCCAATTTACAAATATTTTAAAAGAATCGGAAGAAATTATGCAAGTACAGATCTCTAACAAAAGATTATCTTCACACAGACAAAATAAACAACCATGGTATGATGAGAAATGTCGCATGGCAAAATTATATAAACTTTCCCGTTCACGTCGATATCGTGATACTGGTCGTGGGATTGATTTAAATAACTACAGAAGTGTCCGTAATTCATTTCGCTCACTGGGGAAAAAAAAGAAACATACATATAACGAAAAATTGCAGGATACAATTAGAGAAAATATAACAAGTGAAAAATGTATCCGGGAAACTATTAGAAAGAATAAGAGTAAAAATCAAACGTCTATAATCCCATTACAAGATTGGGTCATGTACTTCGAAAAACTGTATAACCAGGATTCACGTAACAATAGCATAGATCGAG